CCACTTCAGAGTGTGTGTATCTGCCTCTGTTGACCAACGCCTTCCCCGTGGCGTGAATCTCTGTTGAACTTCCCAGATAAAAGTTGTGAATAGGTGTCCCTGCCCGCCGTCGCCTGCAGATGTTGCCTATTGGGTCAGACAGTGTCACTGCTCTTCCAAAGGAGCGTTTCCTGCCAGATGTGAGCCAATGACAGTGCGTTCCCTCTTCACTGGGTTCTCCGGGAGGGGCGCGGCGAAGGAGTGAGGCTAAAAGCCGAGCACATCCGCCTAGCAAAGCGCCTCGCGTTAGTGAGGCCGTGTCCCCTCTCCATCTCTCCCTGCCCCAAATTGTAATAACATGATCGTGCTATTTTTGATTCCTTATTTGCGTGGAAAGCCTGTTGTTTTTTCTTTCCTCTTTCAGAATCCAATTTTCTCTTGACATTTCTGCCTAATGTAGCTAAACATGACCTTTGTGAAAGGACACTTCCAGTAAGATGTGCTCCCTCCTCTGCAGCTTTGTCTGCCGTTCTTCTACATCTCTCTCTATTTCTCACCCATCGCCCTTTCCACCCTCCCCTCTTCTCTCTCTGGTGGGGGGAACTGTAGAACATTTACCGGCTAATCTTTCTGTAGCAACGGGATTTTCCTACCCTCTCCTCATCTGGCGGTGCCAGACTCCCAAAGGGTTGACTCTTCTCTGAGGGGCACTGCAGTCCGATTCTCTGGGGCATGCTTGCAGGTTGTGTCCATTTCCCAAGACTTTCCTGCGGATGGAAGTGGGAGCCATGGGCTTGTCTAAATGGAGACTTAGTGCGTGGCATGCTGAGGTGTAAACCTCCAGCGCACTAGCCTGCCGCGCACTAACTGGCTGTGTGGACCTTGCTGCCGCGCCCTGAATTCCGTAGTGTGTTTTGATCCATTGATGAGTGAAACCGTAGTAGGTCTAAGCTCACTATGGAACTCTTAGCACGCAGTAGCAAGGTCCACACGGCCTGTTAGCATGCAGCAGGCTAGTGCGTTGTGGATTTACATCCCAGCTTGCCACACGCTAAATCTCCTTTTAGACAAACCCAGTGTTTCCACAGCATTGGGAATTGAGGGATCTTTGCTGCCTCAGTGAGATTCTTGCAGTTTGCAGTGGTTTATGCGCGGTATGATGTAGCGTGACATGAAGCCACGGCTTATGGATGCAGCAGTGTCATGTGGCTACTACCACACAGCTGTATGACACCAGGGCACGTGATGGGGTTTATCCCCTAACCAAAGTGAACGACGCGTATTTGGGAGTGTTTGCCTTGTAAGCAGCACAGATGTGTCTGGGCTTCAACTGCAGAATTCCAGATCTGACCTCTTCAGGAGAGGTTGTCCTAAGTTAGGGCAACCCCTGGGGCTGTTCTAACCTATGCCGCCTAGAATCTGAAAGGCAGAGAGGTGACTTAAAGTGACATTTGCCCTCCAACCCCCGGGCTATGGCTTGTGTGCTACGTGTCTCATAAAGCAAAGCCTAGACCAGGGATGGCAACCTTTGGCACGCGGCCCATCAGGGAAATCCGCTGACAGGCCGGGACAGTTTGTTTACCTGCAGCGTCCGCAAGTTTGGCCGATCGCAGCTCCCACTGGCGGCGGTTCGCCGTTCCAGACCAATGGGGGCTATGGGAAGCGGCGGCCAGCACATCCCTCGGCCTGTGCCGTTGACTCTCTCCTGGAGGCTGGATGGCACACTGGCTTGTTATTGCAGCATCCTTCAGGCAGGTTGTGTTGCAGAGGCCAGGGTGTCTCAAGTGGGCTGGCTGGGCAGAGACCCAGAGCCGGCAGGTTTCCAGGGGCTTTGTGAGGAAGATTGTGAGGAGTTCTTCCAAGCTGGAAAGGTAAAACTCCTTCAGAGACTCCTGTATCCAAAAAAGATCAGTTTGGATTTGTAGGACCCATCCCATTTATCGCCCCTAGCACTAAACACCTGGCTTCACTGTATATTGCTTTCTTATTCTGAGCGTAAGAGCCAAGTGAATCTAATAGCCCAAACCCTTCAGACTCCCTCCTATATCAAACCCACGTAGAGCCGAAGTCAGTGCCTCTCCGTGTCCGCTCTCAATGCTGCCTTGTGCTTATCCCATTTCCCTGAGACTGATGGGGATCCTCGTGCTTGGTCTATAGCAAACTTGGCTGCCTGGAGCTGCCTTCGTGCCACCACCTCCTCTTGCCCCATATTTCCTCTTTAGCTGGCTGCAGATTTAATGAGGCTCTGGGTCTCTTGTTCATGTCTCTTGCTCTTCATCGCCATTCTCCGTGAATAAGATCACAGCATGAATGATCTCTGCAGCCAAGGAACCGTTGTCATAGCTGATAAATTGCCATGCCTGCCCAGGCATAGGTGACCAGAGCAATGATGATTCAGATGGGCCGGCAAAGGGGAGGGAAATTAGAGGATGAGGAAGGGGTTGAGTGGCATGAGAGACAGAAAGGGGTCAGTGCTTTAATGGGAGGGAGGGAGATCAAGGGAAGGGGTGCTATTGGTGATTAATAAGTGTGCAGAACCCCACTGCTGAGACGGGGGAAAGACAGTCCTGAAGCAACTCTACTCTGCAAATCCTGTTCACTGTACATTCGTTGCTGGCATGCAGCGATGGAGATGGCTTCCCGTTCCTCCCCATGCAGCCGGCTCTCCCCCACTAGCAGCTCTACAGGAATGGGCTCCCAAACCAAAGATTCTCCTGGGCAGATATTGCTGTCTCTGCACTCAGGGTGTGGGACCCCAGATCTCAGCCTTCACTGTGACTTAAAAAGCCAGATAATGACTTCAGGGGGTACTGAAGTTTATTGCTGAACTTCCAATTGAAGTCTAAACTCGGGATTCGCCTGTGATCCACCCCTACCTCTTGGTTCTTGCTGTAAAATGGGAGTTTGGTTGGGAAGAAGAGAAGGCAGAGTTAATTAGACTGTAATTAGGAGAAGGCTTTATGATCACTCACGCTGATGATTAATGGTTTGGAGCTTTTGCCCCTAGTTTCTGCAGCTGTGGTTTTTCATGCTCAAGTTGTTGCAGGTGCAAAAACTTCAGCGGGCAGGTGCGAGCTGAATTTGTGTGTGTGTGTGTGTGTGTGTGTGTGTGTGTGTGTAGACTGAGCTGCCAGGTGTGTAGCTTTGATGTGCAAAGCTGTGAGGCCTAATTTTTCTTCGAGTGCTTGCTCATGTCAATTCCATGTTAGGTAAGTGCGCGCCCACGTGCACAGCTGCCGGAGATTTTTGCCTTACTGATATCCACAGGGCCAGCTCTGGAGCCCCATGCTCATGTGCTGGTATATGACGCGCCGCCGGCCCTGCGCCCTATCAGTTCCTTCTTACTGCCTGGGGCGGTTGCTGGAACGCCTTTCCTCTTGTGACTGCAAGTGCTTATAGTGGTTCTCCTTCATAGTTTCTTGTATATAGTTGTTCATAGAGTTAGTATTTAATAGTTAGTAAGTTACAGTTAGTTAGTGGTTCCCTTAGGGACGTCGTCCCAAGGACGGGGCTTGCTCCGGTCCCCGGGCTTCAAACCATATTCTGCTTGCCATAAGCCTATGCCTGTCAGCGACCGCCATGCAAGCTGTTGGAAGTGTTTGGGAGAGACGCACATTAAAGATAGGTACCGATTCAAGACCTCTGCAGAGCCACTACCTGGTCTTCAGTCCATACCTTTGTGTCCCATTACGCCATCACCCAGCAGGCTCGGGACGACTCCAGCTTCAACAGAGCAGTGTTGCAAACAGCACCATCCGTGAACTCTGAGCCCACCTCCAGGGATACTGCTTGGGAGTCACCTAACATGGAATCACCATGAGCAAGCACTGAAAGGAGAAAAAACGGTTGCTAACCTTCCGTAACTGCTGTTCTTCGAGATGTGTTGCTCATGTCCATTCCATGAGTCGGAGTTGACGGCAAGAAGGAACTGAGAGGCCACAGGGCCAGCAGCGCCTCATATACTGGCACACGAGCGCGGGGCTCCAGAGGGCACCAGAGCTGGCCCTACGGATACCACTAAGGCAAAAATCTCTGGCAGCCATGCACGTGGGCACACGCACACACCTAACATGGAATGGACACAAGCAGCACACCTCGAAGAACAAGTTATGGAAGGTTACAAACCGTTTTTTGGGGGTTTTTTGAGCGAGGGTTGAGGATCCATTGAACATTTTGCCTTTTACGAAATTTAGGTTCTTTGTTTTTTCCCGTCATGTTAAAATGAATCAATAATAAAATACAGGTGACCCTTCCGTCTCTCTCTGTGTGTGTGTCTCTCTATCTTTCTCTTTCTCATACTCTGCCTCTGTCCTCTCTGAGCTAGTCTTTGACCCCTGTTTGCTCTCTCTCCCATCTCCAGCTCTTTTTGTCTCTCTCCTTCTTTTACTTGACTCAGTAGAGGTGGGCACTGGTTTGTAAAATGTTCCCAGAGAGAGAAGAGGTCACATTTCTGTAGTTCAGGGTGGAGTAGTGCTAGGAGGTGGTTGCTCTTAGTTGCTACAGCAGCATTTCCTTTTGGTGTGAAAGATGCAGAACCTAATGGGAAAACAAATGTACAAATCCTGTTTTAAAATTTCCCTTCTCTGTGTTTCTGTTAACACTTTAGACTGTCACAGTTGAAATAATTCTAAAGATTAGCATTTATTTCTTACCATGCAGTTTGTTTATCTCTTGTATTTCACTTGAGTTTGGAGAGTGTAACTGGACTGATCAGTTTTCCTTTCTGTTTGTAGCTGGTTCCCTTTCCGGTTCTCAGGTATAGTTGCAGGGAATTGTTCTGTTTGTGTTTTTCACATTGCAACAGAATATGGACTGTTTTCACAAAAAGGAAGGGAAGTCTTCTATCCACATTCAGTGTCATTAAAATATTTTTACTAAATCTTAAGTTGGGGCCTTAGACGACTTGATAGCCTCCCTGTAGCTGTAAACTGTAGAGGAAAATGATGAGCTCTGAGGAACCCCTTAGGGTCTGGTGCAGAGGGAATTATTCACCATGAATTCTTTCTCTTGTTAATTTTCAGAAACCTCTCCGATAACCGGCTTACCACACTGTCATGGCAACTCTTCCAGACACTGAGACTTTCTGAACTGTAAGTTCCATCCTGGAGGGATCTCCTGGGAGGGTGGTGGGTGAGAGGGGGTACAGAAAGTCCCCCCCCAAAAAAAGATTAATTTTGAAACCGGTGATATATGAGTGTGAATAATTATCTAAAATCCCAGAGGGCAGAGTGAATTCCGGAAGGGGTTCCTGGGCACGGAAGCACCAGAGCCCTGCTGCTTCTCTGTTAACTTCATAACATCTTGTGAACTGACGTTTGGGGCTGATGATAAGGCCATTTCTGGGCTTATAACTGTTTGGTTAAATGCAAGGCCAGATTTTAAGTGGACCTCCATAAGGGCCAGACCCTGTGAGATGGGAAGAGTCCTCCACTCTCATTCATTTGCAGGCTATGGTTGGTTGTACGGCAAGAGTCATCCAGGTGTGGAGGGGTGCACTTCGTAGGCAATGCTGGCTGTAATGGTGGGTCACTCCCTGGCTCTTGAGTAACCAAGGCACCTGCCAGATCCTGTGTGGACGAGAGGCGAGTATCTCTCCTGGGTCACCTGAGGGCTGCAGCCCACTGAATTATTGATAAAGCATGCTCCACTGCGTCTGAAGAGTAAGTGGACATGAAATCAATGGAGCACTGCCCTGGTGACCTGTTTTGTTGAGTTTTAGAAATAGTTGTTCAGTGGATATAAAAAAAAAATGTACGATTTATCCCAGAGGATCATGGGATATCCCATTCATCCTCACATGTGATCAATACAGCTGTAAGCTAGAAGTGACTTATGAAAGAATAATGACAGTCTCTCAAGTGGGAGTAAATGTGTTATCACCGCTGTTACTGCAGTGTATTTTATTTCTGTCAAATTGTTAAATGAAAAATACTAATAGTGATATTAGAAAATAAAGAAATACCCATCCGATGGGGAATCTGGCTCACAGAGTTAAACGCTGGATTTGGAATTCATCTCTGCACTGATTGCAGCTCACACGAGTTCCAAGTCCTGGTTCAGGTTTCAAGTTTAAAAGAGGTGAATGGCTTGTAGTCTTAGGTTTCCATTTGTTCTCATTGCACCATCTGGCACAATTCAGATTAGTGGTTGCTAGCCAAGAGAGGCCCATGAATGGAAGAGCAGGGGGGCTGCAGGTCAGGACTGAGGTGCATTGGCAGAGTTGTGGGGGAAAGCCCAGGGCTGGGATAACAGGGGGGTGCTGCAGATCAGGACTGGGGTGCTTTTGCAAAAATCTTTGGAGTCAAGGGCTAGAATGGGGTATGCTGCAGATCAGTGTAAATACTCTCAATATTAATTTGTTTTTAAATGGTTCTGTCCCATTTGGTTATACTGCACTTCAAGTATATCCCATGTCTACAACCCCACATCAGGCCAACACCAACAATGATGGAAACTGAGGATCCTTCATATTTGGGCAGCAAAAAAATTAGCCACGAAGCCTCTTTCTTGCCCTACAACAGGGATTTCGATCTGGTTGAGCTTGCTTCATGTTGTGGCAGCAGGGTAGCTCATGACCATTACTCGAAGGGCTGACGATCAGGTGAGCTATATGAAGGAGGAGAATGGAAGTGGTGTAAACAGTCCAGTTCCTTTTGGAGCCTCTTGCAGAGTGGTTTTGTAGGAGGTAGTGAGCCTTGGCTGGTGGGAGAAGTAACGTGGATGAGGTTGCTGGGGATCAAAGAAGGGGGAAAATGGCACTGCCGTTATGAAGCGGTGTGGTGGGTGCTATCCCTTATAAAGCTTCAGGCCTCTAGTGCTGGGAAAGTATTAACTCCCAAGTGTGTGCTCCGCAAGCTATCAAAGTGGCTCCTAAGATGAAAAAACCCATTGAGTTTAACTCCTTCATTGAGAGTTATGCCTATGGGGGATGACTTCCTTTGAGCTGAATCAGAATCAGCATACAATCAGCATACAGTTCAGATAAACAGAAGTTTCCAGATGGGATCCTGCTCAGCAACAAGTCTCCGTCCAGCTGGACAGTGGCCAGGCTGGTGGTCAGCAGTAGGACAGGACAGGGATGCTGCTCCAGGAAGTCTGGAAGAGAGAGGGGAATCTTTCTTAGCAGGCTGGGAGAGTACCAGTGTTGGCGGGAGGCGTGCGTTGAGCACCTCCGCTGGGATAGGGACGAGGGTGGCCTGGGTTGAGAGAAGACTGAAAGGGGTGGAAATCAAACTACAAGGCTGAATAATTGTGAATGCGAAGATGCTAGAGAGTGAGGGGGAAAGAGAGAACGGAATAAATATATTGCACATAGGGTTGACCCCTGAAGCTCAGAGGGCAAGATAAGTGCAATGGGGAATAAATCTCCAGCAGGTTGGGGAGAGGTTAAGAACGGATGGTCCAGGAGAAACATAACATTTAAAAATCCCAAGAGGCTCAGCCAGTAGAAGACATTTATGTCATGTCAAGCTACAAGATGGGTTACAAGACTTGGGAGGGAGGTGGAATACACAGTCCACACAAGGTGACAGTGTTGTACTGGTGGAAGCTAGAGAGAAAGCTGCAGTGTGAGGTTGGCTAAGAACTTGAAGGTGAGCCAAATCTCTCTTGAAAGGAAGAAAATAATGAAACAAGAAGATAGATGCAGAGAGACAGCAAGCGTGAGAAAGTCAGGTTGAGCCGTATGAGCTCTGCAAGGCCTTGGGGAGGCAGGAGAAATATTACAGAAGACACAAGAACACATGTTCGCATGATGTGTACTATCCTCCAGAGCGATGGGAATATAGGAAGATGAGATGGGGACAAGCTGGCCTTCTAATGGCAGCAGCTGCTGCTGCTTAAGGCCAAAGATGGAGTGGTGGTTACCGAGAGGACATCCGGCAGAGTAGACAGCCCCAGCTGGTAGGAGGGGCTCGTCACTTGAACATAACCAGGCAGAAATGATCTGTTCGCATTTCAGGGCATCAAGAGGCAGAAATGTCAGTGCAGGTAAAGATGCCCCCAGGGGGCCAGCTGAAAGAAGTGGAGCAAGCAGTAAAGGGAACGGTGGGAATGTGACAGATCGGAGACCTGGGCAGTGTAAAGAGTTCAAATGACTCGACTAAAATGTGCCAGACAGGCCTTGGCTCTTTGGGACAATACGTGTTAAATGGCTTTCCTGGGGAATACCTGGGGAGTTTTTAAGGCAATTGCCACAACTCCGGTTTTGCAAGAGCCCAGCTTTTGGGGGCTACACCCTGAGGAGAGGGCCATCAGCTGGCGATTGCCTGTTCCCAGAGACTGAAGCTCAAAGGCCTGAGCTGTGTAACGAAGTAGCTGCTGCCTAGCTTTTATTCTGGTTCCGATTTAAAGATTGATGTGAGCCCAGGGAAAACCCAGCTATGGGAGTTCAAGGACTGCCAGCTGCCAGCGCCCTATGTTGGAGTTGGGGTGACCCCGGTAAGCTTTTAGGATGCAGGTAGGTGCTTTTCTTGGGTTTTTGTGTGCTTTCTTGGTCATACTTTGACTTTCAGAATCAATGTGCTTGTTTAGAAGGAGCTGTGTGTTAACTTATAGCGGCTGGCCACACACTGCTCGTTGCCCTTGGGGAGAGAGCAAAGCGCAGGCGCTGGCCATTTAGGGCGACTGGCTTGCTGCGGGCATCTGTGTACATCAGGGAGCTGTGCAGTCTCAAAGGTCCCAGTCAGAGGGGAGTGAGATGCAGGTCTCCGCCCAGGAGCGGTCGCAGCTGGAAGCCCTCAAGGGACCATGGAGGAGGAAATACAGGTGCAGTTCCCCTGAAACGGTGACAGGGAGAAACAGCTCCTTGGGGAGGATTGGGAGGAGAGGCACTGCAATGGACATGACATGAAATGGAGAGCGATAGAGAACGTCCGGTCTGATGAAGCCATTCACAGCAAACGCAGGAGAGGAGAGAGCACGGAAATAGTAATACCAGGATCATGCCACCCGTAAGATCTGGCTGACATATGGGAATTTCCTGAGGAACTCCAAGCTTCAGTGGGTTTGTGTCTGCCCTTTAGGCACATGGAACCAACAGCCTCCTTACAGGAATGAGTAGTTTTTTGCAGGCTAGGGCTTCTTTGTCGTTGGCCAGCGCCAACCTTCTCCCCAGCTGACCGTTCCCCCAGAGCGACTGGCAAGAGGTCATCTCCTACTGACGATTGCTACACGTTCCCCACTCCTGCTGGCGCAAGCACCGAGCAACTGGTTCTTGGCATCAAACATAAGGCAGATCCCTCTTGGGGCAGGATGACTTTGTATGAATACAATACAGTGCATTACAAAGGAAAGTCCTGATCAATTCCTTTTCAGCCAACACCACAGGGACTTGAGAAACAAGAGGTTTGGTACCAAAATATACCTCCTCCACTCCTGGAAAAAGCCATGTCTGGGGATGGCTTGCTGTGAGTCAACCCGTAACTCTTCTAGGCTCAGACTGACCTTGTCGGGCAGGTCTCCAGCCAAAGGATGTGCAGCTCTTGTGAGCCTGTAGTGTGCTGAGCTCAGGGAAGCTTCAAAAACATGCAACAGCTCATAAACATTGGACTTACAGGCCTTGTTATCCAGAGGTCACTGTTGGCTTCCTCCGTCATGCCCTGGGAGAGCTTGGGGCTGACCTTTCAGGAGAGTTTTGTAAAAAACCTGCCCCCAAAACTGACCTTCCCAGGGCAGTGAGAGATCCAAGCCTTCCTTGATCCAGTGGCATCTTTCATTTTATAAAACCTTGGCGTTATGGGCAACTCCTCCCTCATCCAGACCTCCAGTCCTTCTAAAGCAATCTGTAGCTGCCTCATTGCCCTGCAAAACATTTCCATAGTGCTGTTGTGAGAGGTGACGGTGCTGAATGGGGCACAGCAGGGTGTCTGTTAATATCATGAGCACAAGTTAATTTCACATGTGTCCGTTGCTTGAGGACTTATTGCCACCGACAGGCACGCTAATGGAGTTGGCTATACACAAGAGGGGCCTCCCTGCTGGGTGCAGGGGACTAATTCAGCAACCAGAAACCATGCCTCGCTCTGTAGATTAAATCTCCCCTTCTTGTTCCATTGCCTGCCACCAGGGGTTCTGAAATGATGAAGCCAGA